ATTATTTCATTACTGCTAATACTACGCGGAGATGTAGGTACGTCTATTCGGAGAACGTCAGGCTTATTATTATTACTTAGTGGCTCAGCTCGAATACACCTAGCTATTACTGTACCACGTTTAATAATAAATGTTCGCGAACTATTCCCTTTCACCAATGCTATACCTAGAAATGGAACAATCCTTGTACCAGATAGTGTTCTTCCCCATTTGAACCTATTGCTGCCCTCATGTCAGTCCGTCAATTATCGTATCTTTGGAGCAATTAAGGTTATACTTAATACGTGAGAATATTTTCAACATTACATTATCCTTTTCAACCATTATGTGAGTTTACTAAAGTCTTGCTACCAAACATTTAGTACATTTTATAATTGGGCTAGGGCACCCTACTTACACTTGAATCAGTATTTCGAACGCGTTTTCTATCATTAACATTACTAGTACCCCTAGTACTTATGTGTGTTTCAAATCGAGCCGATTCTGCTCCTAACCTTACAGTACGATCGTCAATTCCAAATACAATGCAATCTACCGCTTTCTTCCCTTCAATGCCACAACGATTCAATAAAACTACTTTGTCATAGAAGTAATCCTCGAGAGATTCGTTAAACCTAGCACGTTTGGCTAACATTGTCGAGAGTAATCGCCCATAGTTATCATCGTTAGGAAAAGCCAGGCGTAGTTTATCTTGCCATTCCTTCCACGTAAACATTACAGTATTGAGACCTTCATACCACTTTTGAGCAGTACCCTTCAATTTTGGAAGTGCATAGTGAGTTGTCTGTTTGTCAGTCCAGTCATAAATAACTGCACACTCATTTACTTTGTGCAACCACATATCAATGGTCTGTTCTTTACGGGAGGGATCAAAGTCTGGAAGCGTATTTTGTGTCTGTAATCTATCATTACTATTATTTTTCCCTATAGTTTGTAATGCTTGTATTAACTGTGTAAGAGTAACACTATTTCCCAAGGTTTCTGGCACTAACCTGTCTGGTGTTAAAACTTGTCGGAGAGACCTTTGCTGTTGTTGCCGTTGCATCTGGCTGGTTTCAGTATGGCCACGCTGCACGGCCCTGCTGTGTACAGGTCGGCTGCGTGAACGGTGACTGGTAGGACTTAGCGATCGGTGGCTGCTGCGGCTGCGCGTCCGGTAGTTGGCACGACTGTGCCTGCGATGATCAGCGCGACTGCGTGACTGCACACACATACGGCTGCGCGACCGTCGGCTGGGCGAGCGACCACTGCGGGTCTGGTGATGGTGGTTCGCATGGCTTCGCACACTGCGACTGCTATCACCACGACGCTGACTTCTAGTGGACTTCAATCTACTCCGCGATCGCCGATCCACTGACGCCTTCGGGCTCTCATCGTTTCCCATTTCACTGTTGAAATATTTTCGACACATCATTTGTACAACAACAATTTAAAGTAAAAGTTTAGACTGACAAAGGTTATACACATTATACACCGTATCACGTATTAACAACGTTATTTTATCCAACAAAACAACAGAAAAACGAAAAGTAATAAAGACAAAAAATTTATGTATATTTCATAAACACAATTGATATTTTTACTGGAATATTATACAATACATTTTTAAATTCATATAAAGTAACTTTCTAATTTTATATTATGTAGAAATATTTGTAGGCTTGGCAGGTAAGCAAAAGAAAAAAAAAAATTCTGTTACTCACCTTATCCCACTTCTGAAATGTTGGCACTAACTTCTGGGTTGGCGATTTTTTTCAATAAAACACGTTACTTGCACTTAGTGAATTTACTCTCACGTTTCAACACTTACACAATCGCTTTTCTTATTCCTTATTTTACAAAAGTTGATTAAGAACTGAGCTATATTAAGACAGTGTCACATTTTTATTAACTACCCGAGACAATCAATTGACTTAAAATAGTTCAACAACAGGATCAACAAAATCACTTTATTTAATTAAATTAGTTTAATATTTTTTTAAATAAGTTTATAATTATTATCTATACCAAATAATATTTATTATACATTCATAGAGTGATTTATGATATTACATATATTTTATGATATTACATTATTATAGGCCAACAATAGATTTTATTAAATAACTAGCAGAACCCGCAGGTTCACTCGCGCTTAAACTACAAAAAATATCTAAAAAGGTAGTTTTATACCAAATTTTATTACAGAGTGACAGCCTAATTGTGCTATTGTACCATTCTCTTACGCAAGAAAGAAAGAAAACGTAGAGATTCTCTTGATTTTCTACTTATATCCTTTTAACTATTTTTAGATGACAATTTAAAACGTAATAAAAGAGTAAGTCTACTTTACTTTCACCCGCAAATGTTAATTAATAAAAAGATTATTTTTTTTTTTATTTCTTAATCTATGAATACAAAGCAAATGCCACTCACTGATTACATAAAATCTCAGAAAGTATAATTGCTATAAATTTGAAATTAGTCAGGTAGATGGTTCATAGGGAGTCAGTCACTATTTGCTAAGAATTTCTGTCAAATACTTGTATAGAAATCCGTTAACTTTATACTATGCAAGTAGAATCGTGGACAAATGCCAGTTAAATTATAATATAGGTACAAAAATTAAACATCAAACCATAGAAACAATTTTAATACAACTATCTTGTTTTCGGGACAGCCATTTTATAGTTGCCTAAAATCGTGGTGACACTACTCAGTGAAAGTGGGCGCGCCCTACGGCCTTGCAGGTGAAAGTTCTTCGACGCCAGTCTATCAATAAGCTATGGGTCACTTCCAACTTGTCCTCAAGCTAGTTACGACCCACGGTTTTGTCTGAGATCTTTATCTATACAGCCTCTTAGAATGTACATACATACATAGGTATGTTATAAATAATATGTTTTCATTTTTGAAGTTATACTTCTTTTGTCAAGTTTGGAAAAAAATATGAGAGTAAAATTTTTACGATGTGCGCGCTCACCGACAGCTAAAAAGCTACATGATGAAGTTAGCTGCATTCCTTTTACAAACAGAGAGTTGTGACATACGAGATGAAATCTTTAGCTATTTTTGTTCTGTTACGCCAATGAAGTATAACTTCTTACGTGCGTACATAAGTATGCACGTTTCTTTTTTAAATAGCTATAGTATTTTCCAGTAGTTATTCTCTTTATAACCAAATGAAGCGGATTAATTAATAAACGGGTCTCGCACCTTTGATATTTTCATGTGTGAATAAGCAACATGATCACCACTTGTATTACGGTGAAGGTAAACATCGTGAGGAAACCTGCATGTCTGAGAGAATCTAGCAAGTTTTTGGGTAAATTATTATAAAACTAGCAAGTCACATTCGCTCCGCTCGGATTCGTCCCTGGGTGCGTTTTAACGGTTAATATAGATTTCTCAGAGATGAGATATTTTTCAGCAGTAAAAAATATCCTATATGTTGACCTGGATAACCAGCTAACGTCATACCAAATTTCATCAAAATCCCTCCAGTGGTTTGATCGTGATGCGGACACAGACAGACTATCACAAGCTGAATGTCATAAAATAAAGTACATACAAACAAACATACATTATCTAACAGAATCTACTGTATATTAGATCATCTTCCACGCAAGCAAAACCGCGGGACACCTAGCTGCATACATATTTACATTGTACACCCTCGAAACACACGACCTGTCTATTTAAAGTTGGATAATTTAATAAGGTCGCTGATGAGCAATTACGTGCAGTTCACTGGCGATATTAGAACAAGATGTTTTGTAGAATAGACTACTTAATACGTAATACTTCCTTAGATTTACACGAATATTTGACATTTTAAATAAAACTACCTTTTTTAGTTAGTTTCGGTATCGAAATAATCCGATCGGTATAATCGGATTATTTAGCGGATTTATTTTGATTTTTGGAAAAATATATCCTACTACTACCCGAAGTGAGCGAGGGTGAGTTCCTAGACAAAAACAAATCTATCCCACGGGAACCGTAAATTTTTCCGAGATAAAAAGTAACCTATGTGTTATTCCAGACTATAATCTATCTCTGTGTCAAATATCATCCAGATCCGTTCAGACGTTCTGGCGTGAAAGAGTAACAAACATCCACACTTTTATACTTTTTCACATTTATAATTTTAGTATGGATACTAGTTTTAAAATATAATTTTTATTTACTTTTTTTCAAATCAGACCAGAACGGTAGTTTTAAAGCGCTCTCAATTTCTTCAATTTTTATTTTTAAATTCAATAAACCTTTTCAATTCAATAAACCTTTTCAAATACAGTTAAAAAGCTTAAACTTTATAAAACTAAGCTTTCTAAAGAGACTCTATCGCCATTTTGTTTAGTATAACGCACCACTGACCACCATCCCTTAATTTGGAACAATACTACATTATAAGAACTAGCGATTTAAGTCAAAAAATACTCAGATTTTCAGAGAAATAAAAAAGATACCAAAAAAAATATTTTGTTAACGTTTTGGAGATTTTTTCAAAATTATGATAATTTGATAAAAGCCAATTTTTTAAGAGTGAGTTTTTTTTATAGTTTTGAAATTTTCGATACTTCTTTGCGTGCTTAAGGGTTTGTTTGTAGCCAGGAGAAAGAAGAAGAAGATATTTTTTTAACATAGTATATATTATTTGTAGGGGAGAGTTAAATATGGCGCCGGGAGGGGGGTGGCAGGGATGCATCCCCTTGCCATAAAGGAAAATACATAGAAAAAGTTAAAGAACTATAACGTTGCCTGACTAACATCCCTGTTTCAATTTAGATATCTGTAAAAAATAAAACATTCCTCACAAATGTTTAAAAAATATTATATTGATGAATACAAATTGTAAAAGGTAATTATTTAAAGATTAGTAGTATAATGTGAAGAAGCAGATGCAGCCCCTGATATGACTTATTTACAATTATATTATTTATTTATTAAATTTAAACAAAGAAAATACATTAAAATTAATTTCAATTTCAAACGTGGATTTAAAACCGCTACCGCTTATGAGTGTGTCTGTACCTGAAACTATTGGAGCATGTCTCAGAATTATAGGTGCTGTGCACTCAGTGAGAGGGTGTCGCGTCGGGACCAACATACAAACATGGAGTGATAGTTGCGTTATATTTAAAGTAAGTTCTTACAATAATTATTTATTAGAATGTGCACTTAAAATAAGGACGAATAAAAAAATATTATTCGTACTTTAATAGGACGAATAATAAATAAAGGAGGCTTGCTATTCGTCCGATAATGGAATGAATAAAAAATATATTATTCACCCGAAAATTTATATGAATATCTACAATTTTTTTTTGTGTTTTCTAATGTAAAATAAGTGATTTTCAGGCGCGGGAGTTTCTGTATGCAAAAAAAATAAACTTAGTGGCCTTAACTCACCAAGCTACTTATTCTACTTACTTATTTATTATTCTATTTGTCCTTCCTTATAATTTATATATTTTATACAGGACGAATAATTATATTTTATTCGTCCTATTAAAGGACGAACAGACACTCCGTTATTATTAATATGTGCTAGTGTCTGCCCAATGATCGAAATTCGAGCATAATCATTATTGAAAATTTGAGGAAAACATATGAATAGAATTTACGTATCTATATTAAAAAAAATGTTTCCAAATTTTTTTATTCCTACTAAAACTCGTCAACAGCTACTAAATAAAATGAAAAAAAAAACGTTTGACCAACGGAGGAAAAAGGGTACTGAAGTGTTTTTTCTTTGCCTATTTATAAATAGACATATTATACTAGCTACTTTTGGTTTCGGAGCGTTTCGAAAACTATATATACTAACTTAAAATTAAATTAAGAAAAAAAAATAAAACTAAATGAGCCGATTTGAGGCTTCTTTATTGTCTGAATACATTCTCGGGTGGGCCGACCAGACGCTAAGTTTGCGTCTCTCGGTCTCTCTTATTCTATGTAAATGTTAATCTAGAGCGGATGGACGAGGTGTAACCATAACTAGTTTTTCTCTCGGGTTTGCTCGCGTAGTCTTTTTATGTATAATTGTTTCGTCATAACATGTTTATATGCAGATTTTCTCACGATTTCTTACTTCACCGTATTGTCAAGTAGGTATGTTGGAAATGAATTTCGCCCTTGGAAATATTAGAGGACAGACTCGGGATTCGAACCCGCTTTACTAATTCAAATACAACGTTGATGATATATAAACATAATTTCAAATCGTATTTTAACGTCTTTTCTTTAGTTCACTAATTTGGAACGGTGGTATTACAACTAAAGTTCATCTACACATATGTTCTTTTCAAAAATTCTCTATATATTACTTTTCATCTTATTTCAATTTTTTTCTATAAATATTATATTTAACTAAATTTAAGTCAAAACTTCAATCATCATCATTGCTTTCTCACATTCCTCCTTAAAAAGCCTTAGGATTTCAGATATTTTATCGATCATTTTGACGTAATAAATGTTTTAAGGCCTTAATTATCCAGTTATGTAATATTTTTTATCTTTTTTAGTCCAAAATGCAGGACCAATGGTCAGACGAAGCAGAGAAAAGTCGACCAACATCACGACGAAATTCCGGACCGTTCTCTCGTCGTGGAAGTGTGAAGAAAGAGCCTGAGAAGAAAATCGTGACCGCGCCAGCCTCAAGCTCGTCCACTCCAAAAAAAGTATCGAAGCCACAAAATTTAGATTTTGTTGTAACTGGAAAGCAATTGTTGAAAAGGTATGTATCGTTAATACTTGCTTAGACATCTTTAAAAAATACTAAATAATAATATGTTGGGACATATTAACACACAGAACCGTCTAGTTCTAGTTCCATGGTAAGCTACAAGGCCTGTGTTATGGATACCAGTAAGTTGATACACTACACATATTTAACTTTAAATATATATTCTATTTATTTATTAGTACAGCAAGTAAGATAACTACAAATAAAGCCAAACGTTCGGCCAAATTTATATTTTTTCTTGTTTATCAATATGTTCAGATAGAGGCCACTGTTGCGATTATGACATCATTCGCAAACACATCAAGTAATACACATACGAAAAAGTTTTGAGTCCGTTCAAGAGCGGTTGAACAATACACTTTTCATTCTTACGTCTTTGGCAGAGGAGATCGAGCACACTCGCTCCCCGCAGCGTACCACAGGCGACAGTCAGTCGACTCGTTACTCAAGTCCAAGAGAACCCTCGACTCTCCTCGACGAGTCAACTCCAGCTCCAAAAGCCGAAACACTTCTTTAGAATGTGATATGTCTCTAGATTTATCTCAGGTATGCTATATTTAATACTTTTTTTTAATATTGGTAAATGCATTTACGCATACCACCTGTATACATACAGGGTTATGTTGTACTCACCGGCTAGAAAAGCCAGTACTACCCACTAAAACCCAACAAAACCTTCCCCCGTCTTAATGGGGCGTCAGGTCTCGACGACCCCGACGTCAGGTCTGCCAGATGCTATATTTAATACTACACTATTATTCATTCAAGAATAATGATGATATGATGTCCTCCTCTGGTCTGGTCTGGTGTCAATCTCATTGAGACTTGAACTGCAGCAGATAATATAGTGCATAAGTGTACGTACAGACCCTACCCTCTATACGTTTCCACTCTCAAAGTCCGTTGGGACGATACTTCGACACGATCAGTAAGATTAAGGTGCAGAGCCGACGGCTTTACGTGCTTTCGTCCGAGGCACCGTCAACTCCTGGCTGCTAATGAGAATTTCTTAACAAAAAAACTCAGTAAGTAGGCTGGATGACGGTACTCTAAACCAGGGTCTCGAACCTGCGACCGTACATGCTACCCACTACAACATCAAGAGATTAGGGAGTCAACAATTCCAGAATATCTAAAAGTTATTTAGTTGATGCAGCATATATATCTAAGGTCACAGGATCTATTTGCGGATGAAATAAATGTTAAAAGTGTTCTTTAAACTTTAACGAAATTGTTAATCTTAATATTATTTTTATTTTTATGACGTTTTTGTTCCTTTTTCATACAGGTGTCAGATTTTGAAGATACCAGCTCAAAGTATGGGATAAAAAGCATGACCCAGCCTGTGGCCACTTCTACACCAAAGAAATGTCTGAAATCCAGAAGTTACTCCCTCCAGAAGGAATCTAGACTGGAATCCAAGAAGAGCAGAGAAAGTGTTTCAGAGGAAAGTTTTCATAAAACCCCTTCATCTGCTTACAGGTATCCATATCTATACTTAATATTATAAATGTGAAAGCGTGTTTGTTTGTTTGTATGTTTGTCCTTCTTTTACGTCGAAATGGATTGATGGATTGGCATGATTTTTTGTGTGGAGATGCATTTTTCAAAATTCATTCCATAAGAGGTTAAAATACAGGATGAATTTTAGCGCGACCGAAGCCGCCGATTCAGTTAGTAGTATACAAAAAAAAACATTCTTTAGCAAGGAAAAAAACCTTTATTTCCAGGACATACCTACGTTATCTCTTAATTGAACACCACACTATTAACTATACATATTATAAAATAAAGTAACCTGCCGCATCTGTCTGTCTGAACGCTATATATATACTAGCAGTACCGCGGCTTCGCCCGTGTCCAAACTTCCGATCGGTAAAAAGGATAATCCGCTGGGCTAATCTGAAGATTACCTGAAAATTTCATCAAAATCGCTCTAGCTGTTTTTGAGTCCATAGGAAACGTAATACAAAAATCGATTTTTATTTTATTTAATCAACAATTTATTTTTATTTTTTGCTCGGAAATTGGAGTCTTTTATGAAAATTTAGTGACACACCGACTGCAGCGCCACCTACCGGATCCATTTGTGAATTTAAACCGTGCAGGATTCCATTAAAATATACACTCAAAATTTCATCCAAATCGGTCCAGTCCTTTAGGAGGAGTAGGTTAACAAACACACGTACAGAAGATTATATATATTAATATATATACAACAGCAATAGCAACAGACAAGCCCTGACCGAGCTGGACTACTCGTCGATGTCTCCAGAATGCTCCGGACCTTCGTCCGGCGACAGCGCGCTTATGCAGGACACCCTGGTCTCCCCTAGGAGCCAAGATTACCAAGATACGAGGTAAATATAGATAAAAATTAAGTAAGTTCCATAAATGGATTTTAACTAGGAAAGGACCAACCTATTTCATTACTTGAAGACGCGCGTAAAGCTTTCCAAGAATGCAAGAAAGCGTAGCAAACGCGACACTCTTAGCTCATCTTAATTTCGAAGCGAAATTCCCACTTGTCATGATGCATCAGATACAGCCTTTGGCGCTGTACTTCAACAAAAGGGTGATGAGGCTTACGGGATCACGTCGAGGTCACCAATATGGTCGTTGTAGAAATATTAAATTATTTCAATCTATTTTATAGAAATAGGAATAAAAACCGTGCGTATAACGCCTTTTTTAATCTTACACTTTTTACTTTTTATTAAAATCTATCAAAAACGTTATTTATAAAAAAGTTCTTAATCAAAAATAGAAGAGTATAAACAGATGTGTGTGTGTGTGTGTGTATATATTTGTGCGCCTACAAACTTAAAAGCCATAACACCATGAGATAGTTTCATCTCTTCAACTTAATACTTTTTAGAGTATTTAGCGTAATATTTAAATCTTTAGATTTAAATATTCTGCGTAGTTTCTGCGTGAGTACCTACCAGGAGGAGGCGCGGGAGGCGGGCGAGTGGGGGCACTTCTGGGCCAACTACAACAACTCCCTGGCGAGAGTCCCCATCAGCCGGTACTACGACCAGTGCCCCACTCCTTACAGATCTGATGTAGATTTGGCGGATTTTGGTAAGACTTACACAATATAAAAAGGCAGATAATCTGTACATATATTTGTTTGATAGTTTTTCTAAACAAATTGATGAACTGATTTTAATGAAATTTGGGATAATGGCAATGGTGCCTGCAGCTTCGCTCAGGTTATAACTACTACAAACAATTAATGCCTATCTTTTAATGAGATAATCAATTTTATAGCCGAATTTGATTAAAATCCATATTATTGTTACAACGTGAAGATGTGAAACAAACACTAAGATTTGCAATTTTTATAATAGTGGCGACAATAAATAAAGTAACATATATTATTTGAACTATCCATAGATTATTATCAATTCGATTTTCTTGTTAACGGCTTCAAAGCGTGCCAGTTCAGTACATACTAATTCGCCAATATCACAGAGAATGGTGAAGATAATATTATCTTAATTTTAGTCTTTAGTTCTGTCAATCTCAAATTGTAAATCAAATCTTTACAGAACTCTCCACAGACGGTTCCAGAAAGCGGTCACCGGACAACATAAAGACAATTAACAATATCATACGCAATGAAGGTATACGTCTAACTCCACGGGAAACTCAGAACATAATCAAATGCGCCCATATTTTAGGTAATGTCCTTACAAAAGCAATAGAACGCCAGACAAAGGAAATAAATGAAAAAATCCAAGATTTAAACCCCATCCCTCCGCCAGAGAAAGAGTTGAAAAAAAAAACTATGACACTAGATCTAAAAGAAACGGTGATGCCCCTCGAAGTGAAGACAACAGAGAGTGTTCCAACGCAAACTGACATATCTCTGCCAAATACGAAAAGTGCGCCCAAAATTTTTGAAAATATACTTAGACAGCTCTCATTGAGTTCTTTGGATGTTAAAGATAAAGATAAAGAAGACAATTTAGAAGAATAAGTAAAATATGGCTGTATTCTTTTTCCGTTTTAGGATAAGCGTGAAAACAAAGTACTTCTGTTGTAAAAATTTTTTCTATAAATCCCGTATTCAAAAAATTCAAGTAACTTTTATCCCGTGGGAAGGTTTGGATTCCCGGAATAGAAAATGACTACGTTCAACCGATATTTCCGTAAATCAGCGCAAATCATATTCATTTTCAAGTTATGGTTTTGAAAACAAACTAAAGGCACTTCCGACTAACTGCTTGTTGAATAAACTCGCGTCACATCTATCTACTTATACAAATAATAAAATCCTGAGTCGAATCTGTAAATTAAATATTTTTTGGAAAATCTTATTGAAATATACATTATTATCGATACAGAGGCCGAATCTATAGTTTTTAGAATTTTTGTCTGTCTGTCTGTCTATACAACATATTATAGGATACTTTTGACTGCGGGAAAATATCTCATCACTGAGAAATCTGTACTAAACGTAATTAGGGACCAACCCGAGCGGAGCGAGGGCGAGTCGCTAATGTATAAATAATAATATTAAGTTTTGGTCTCATCACACTAGCCAACTGCAGTAGATATTATAGTGCAGAGTGTGAGGGAAAGAGACACACAACATCATTTTCTGTGCCTTTCACTCTCATACTGGGATGAGACGATATATGGATGAGAAGATCTGTGCTCTCTATCGACAGGAGAGTACTCTTCACAACTCTCGTCTTTTATTGGTAGTATCTAGACATAAAAACAATATATCTAAACTCGTCCCGACCCGAGACGCGAACCTAAGACCTCCAGATCTGATACCTGACCACCGAGGCATTTTAAATATAGTTGTAATGTGAATATAAAATATTGTATTAATACTTTCTTAGATTTACGCGAATGTTTGACATTATTAAATAAAACTATCTTTTCGGATTATTTCGCGGATTTATTTTGATTTTTGTTTCCCGACGTTTCGAATGCTTTAAAGCATCCATGGTCACGGGAGAGACTGAGGTGTTACATGTCTGAAGGTATAGTTTTTACAGACAGCCTACCCACAATTAACAAAATGAAAATTGCACCAATTACATTACAATATTTTTTAGCTTGAAAATAATATAATCCGAAAAGATAGTTTTATTTAATAAAATATTGTATTGTAAAATAATTTAATGGCGTTGAAATTTCTGTTTTAATTAATAATAAATTATTTCTAATTACTTTTGCTTTATTGGAAGAATATAAGTAGTTTTATTTTATTCTTATCTTTTAATAATTTAGTGAAAGTGAAAGTGTTTGTTTGTTTGTCATTGTTTTGACCGACTTCAAAGAAGATGTATCGATATATGTCAAGTGCGAATCGATTTTCTAAATTATTCTTATAAATGTCAAACCTAAATTGATCTGAATGAAAAGTTTAGAGATAGCATTTTGAGATTTTAACTTAAAGGTCTTTATTCTATAACTAGCAAGTATATAGTAAAAGTTAAAAAATAAAATGATATGAGTAAAATCCCTGTTTGAAAGATATCTAATAATAAATAAGATATGAATAAAAATTATATAGTAAACCATTTAAAAATTAGTCAGTAGTTTAATGTGAAGAAACAGATGCAGCCCCCTCGAGATAATTCTGCCGCCGCCCAAAAATACAGCTTATATAACTGTACCTATGTAACATGAGGTAATATGATTTGTAACGGGCATAATATATAAGTATAGATATTACATTAGATTATAGATCGAATATGTATTGATTCGACAGTCTCTCGCTTGGTCTCGCAAGTGCAATACGCACTTCAATAAACGCTTAATATTAAAGCTTTATTATTTTCTCCTCACGTCCGCCACAATAACTTTTTAGATTTTCGTGTTTCACAATTACATAATAATTACACTACGGGACTTAAAGGCGTGAATTCGTTAGTGGCAGACCACGTCTGCCCGTGGCCACAGCTGGTGCAACCCAGTCGAAACGTCGGGAATAAGTTATATAGCCAATAAGTCGTTTAAGCCCCGTAGTGTAATTATTATATAATACATACAGCTCATATGCGATCTGTTTAAGTTTCATCCAAATCCGACCAGCCGTTTCGATGAGAAGGATTTACAAACATACATACATATTATAGAAATCCGATGAAGAAATGTTTCTTGAAATGAACCCATAAAAGAGTAGAAGAAAGTTTCATAATAATAATATAGTCCTCCTGACGGGTTTCCGACGGCGTTCGTCAGTGCACCTGATCCGACACGGGGCTCGAATCCAGAACCTATGAACCTAAAATCTACGGATGTTGTATTTCATAGTAGATTGAACGATGAATCATCATTATCATTCGATAGTATTCCCATGTAATAAGGATATTTTATTTATTTGAAATGGCTTGAATTTCCAATGTGAACAAACAGATAAATAAAAGTAATATATAACAAATTGATAATTTTTAATCAACGCCATCTATTGACATTTTTTTGAACTATTTTTTCTTCGTACCTGTGGAAACTTGTAAGTATTTACATTACCTAATGGCATTTTTATAAAACAATGTAAATTGAATTAACCCGGTTGTTTTGTAACCTGTAAAGCAACGAAAATTGGATTGAATCATCATTTCATTTTCCTTTAATAAAGGTATTCTTGAAAATGAGAATGTGTTGTATCGGTCTATTTTAATTAAATATGTATTTATAATTATATTGGTATTTAGCGCCATCTAATGTTGTTAGGTAGTACTAAGTGTACTCAGTGAAACATGGTGATAAAAAAAATTAACGCCATCTAGTGAAGAACAGGGTTAGAATGTAAAATGCTCTGGAACGTATTTCATAAAATTTTCATAGATGGCGTTGGATATTTATTATCTAAACTATTATAAAGAGGCAGTTTGTTTGAACGCGCTAATCTCAGGAACTACTAATCCGATTTGAAAAATTCTTTTTGCATTAGATAGCCCGTTTATTGAGAAAGGCAGCGAAAGAAAGGGAAGGAAAGGGAGCGGAGCAGTAATATAATATATAGTCTATCTATTCGTAACCGTTAAAACGTACCTAGGGACGAACACGGGCGAAGCGATTCTGAGTCGCTAGTTTTATTATAATAGATAAAAAAAACTAATATTATGCTATCTTTCTTTCAATAGAATGAGAATTAGCTTTCTTTTTGGGCTTCAAGATATAGGGGGAAAATGTATAAGAAGAATAAAATGCATGTATTTTATAATTTATTTATTCAATTTAATATCAACTTACTCTAACATACTCTATTTATTATAATATATTAGTTAAAATTCTCCAAATGACGTTCTTTAATCATTTTTAGTAATTTATTCGAAGTATCAATAAAAATAATATTTTACGTACAAACATCTATAATTTTATATATATAAAAAATATAATCAAAATTAGCTTTTTTATACATGTAAAAAAAAGTTTGTTTGCACACAAGTTTTTTTTTAAACTTAATTCAAGTCAAAAGTACGTTCTAAATTAAAGAAAAATATGTAAATCAAAAATTACATGAAATACAGATACTAATTGAAAAAAGTTTTATAAAAATTTCTGAAGAAAAAAAAACTTAAAAATTACAAAATTTATTTACATTAAACTAATAAGCGTAAAAATTTCTCGGTAATTACCGGAAAATCTCAAAAATTTACGTTTGAGCTGGAAATAAAAAAAATGTTTTTTTTTGCATGTTTTTTTAATACCACCTGTTATTCAGTCTACGATAGTAATTTAATAGGACGAAAAAATTCGTTATCTGTGATAAAAATTCCATATTTTCAAAAATGTTTGAAGCTCAAACGATAAATTTATTTTGAAGTCATAATTTTTTTAATAAAATAAAATCTTTTTTTTTCTCTAACATTTACAAAGCGTATATAATATTGCTTTAAATTTCGCCCTCCTTCCTTACACAGCTTATATCTTAATGTGGTTTGAACAAAATAAAAAACGTTAAATATCTTTTCGTCCGTTTGTTTTTTTTTATATTATATCCCAAACAGGATATATAAATATCACTTACTAATGCAGTGTACTTTTTTTTTAAATCAAGTCAGTGCTGCCACAGATACCTTTCTAATTTATATAGTGTAGAAGTATGTATATTTTGTTCAAATCACATTAAAAAATAATTTATATATGTAATAATGTATATTATGACGATCCCGAAGTAAACATGTATTTATAAACTAGTTTTATTGACTTCGCTCGTATGGTTGATATGAAAAAATGGTTAAAACAGACATTTATTAAAAAAAATCTACTAGGAACCAAAACAGGATAAATGCTAAGTTTCATCAAAATAAATTAAGCTATTGACGCGATAGTGGATAAGACTTCGGATAATAATAAGTAATTAATAATTATATAAATTAAAGAATTAGTTTCTAAATTTGGAATTTCTTAGATATACATGTTTACTTAGGGACCGTTTTGATTTTCCTTTAGAGGAGACATAACCAAAAAAATAGCATATTTCATAGAAATCTCGTTTATGTTATATTGCTCAAAATGAGACTTGAATTCTAATTAATTTATATTTCATTATGTATTCAGCCCTTTTTAACGTCCCACTGCTGGGCGTGGGCCTCCTTTCACTACGAGAGAGATCAGACTATAATTCACCACGCTGGCCAAGTGCGTGTTGGCGGACTTCACATGCCTTGCGAAAATTTGCTAGGTTCTCTCAGACATGCAGGTTTCCTCACGATGTTCTCCTTCACCGTAAGACAAGTGGTGGTCATGTTGGGGATGATTCGCACATGAGAATAGCTATAATTAATAACATAGCATAATATTTTGTATTCTTTAACAAAAAATTAGAACTATATTTGCGATTATAATAATTAAACTTCATTCAAATAACAAAATCAGATTTTGCATTATTATAGAAAAAAGAAATTCATATGAAAAAATATAAATATTGTACAAATCTAATCAATTTTATATATAAATATAAATCGTCCAAAAATTTTGAAAAAAATTATATTGTTTTTAGTAACATAATATAATCTATATATAGATAAATAAAATTGAAGTGTCTGTTAGTAATGTTAAAATGACAGCTTTTTACTAAATGCATATGAAATTAAATACGGTACTTATAAGAAAACACATTTTTTTAAATTGTCTGTTTGTTTGTTCCGGCTAATCTCTGAAACGGCTGGACCTATTTTGTCGGGATTTTCACTGGCAGATAGCTGATGATATAAGGAGTAACTTAGGCTACTTTTCTTTTAGAAATAGAATTAGGGTTCCGCTCAAAAAAGTAAAACGTACCTAGAGACCCCGAGAGAAGCGAGTCACTAGTTATAAATAAAAATAATTTTAGTATAATTTTGGAGGAAATAGAAATATGTAAATAAAATCATAAAATAACAATATAACATAAACGAGACAAAACTAAAGATTAGAACATAAAACTAACTTCTTCTAAGAAATTTCCTAAAAAAAACAACTACTCAATAATGGCACTAAATTCAATTGAAAATATAAATGCGGAAAGAAATTTTTGAAATCCAACAAATTTTTTTATAATTTAAGTCAGAAAATTTCTCAAAATTTTAAAAATCAAATCATAATTATATAAAAAATATTTTATGAACAAAAATTAATATTGAATTTGAACATTATTAAAAATTTAAAATGCAAGCGTCAAACATAATCTACTTTGAATACAAAACTTTATCATAATTGGCTACTCCTTAAAATAAAATATATACATTATTTCTATTCTTTGTTGTTAAACGGCACTTTGTTTTTTTTTAAAGCTTAAACACGATTTAAAATTATAAAAAAAAATTAATAAGAAAATTTTTGAAGTTCAACTATTTCTAGAAAAAATTGAATTTTTGAAAATTTTCAGTTGTTTTTTTTAATATTGCTGTTTTTAAGCTAACTTAAACATAAATTAGAGGTGGGACGTTCTTTAACCTATTTTGTACTTAAAACTTAATTTTAACATTAATATGGCGTTATTTTACTTACAATATAGAAAAAAACTAGAATAAATCAAGAATTAAATGCTTTAAAGTCATATTTTAAAATATCTAGCGAAAAGACCAACGGTCTATTGAGAAGACTGAAAATAAATACCACTTTCTACTAAACATTTCACATAAACCTCCATTCAACTGTCGTTTCTGTAAAAGATTATTAAAAAAAATCTATTTTTAATAGACCGCGATCTTTCCAATAGACCTTCAGATTTTCACGTCAAATATAAAATAAATTGCACGTTTATAATAATCTATTTCTATATTTGTTTGATTGTTGGTTTGTGTAGTGTTTTTTATAGGAATCCCGGAATTTGGGATCCAACATGGCGGTGTATCCCGTGGGAGAGCACAGATCGGGATATTTTTGGTAAAACGAACTATATCCTTGATGAAGGAGGTAAACTTCTGGGTAGTTTAGAGAGGGATAGCTTTCTTTGTGTTTCGCTCTGTCTGAAGACCGTAGGAACCTTGATCTGAGAAAAGTATTTTTTTTTAGATTTACGCGAATATTTAATATTTTAAATAAAACTATCTTTTCGAATTTTTTCGCGGATTTATTTTGATTTTTGGTTCCCGACGTTTCGAATGCTTTACAGCAATCATGGTCACGGGAGAGACTGAGGTGTTAGACGTCTCAAAGGACATTATACATATAGTTGTTACAGACAGCAACTACTATCCACAAAATTATAAAATGATTTCAAAAAATCAAAATAAATCCGAAAAGATAGTTTTGATTAAAAAAAAATACTAGTTTTTTTTACAACTGTAAAGGCAAAATTTGTGTATGTTTATCACTTCTTCACATTGTAACGGCTGAACAGATTTTAGTGAAATTTGGATGAACATATAAATCACGTTTCATGTAGAAAAACTACTTTTTAGTAAAAAATACTTACAAAACAAGTCTGTTACATTTTCACGCATGAACCAATTTTAATGAATTTTGGTACAGAGATGGGATGGGACCTTGGAGAACGACAAGGTTACTTTTCATCGGGAATATAAAACTTGCAAGGGAGTGAAATAAAATTATAAATGTTTTTCCTGTTCCGAGACAAAAAGATGAGTTACATATTCTTATATATTATGTTTATGGAAAACAAACAAAAAAATTTATAGATCAAGCAAGTATGAATAAATAAATATGTTGGTACATTAACACACAGCTCCATCTAGTACCATGGTAAGCTACGAGGCTAGTGTTATGGATACCAGGTAGTCGATACACTACACATATATAACTTTAAATACATACATATTGTAAATATAAACACCCATGACTTGAGTACAAACATTAGTGCTCATCACACAAATGAATGCCTCCAACGGGACTCGAACCCGCGACCATTGGCATAGCAATTAGAGTCACTACAAACTGAGCTGAACGCATCGTCAAATCAAAGGAAGCGAGCGTCCCCGATATCATAAATGCAAAAGACGCCATTTACATATTAAAAAAAATCTCATGTAACTCACAACTTAGGCCCTCTCTCCTGCGAGAACTCGCAATGGAACACTAGGATGGACCGTTTTTGATCAGACTCCTTGGGCTGGATAGGTTCGTTGATTAGGGAGAGTATCTGCGACTGAGTGTACATATTAATTGCTCCCAGAATATGACCCCCTTCATATTCGTACGGATATCTGCAGTCTATCACCTGGAATACAAGAAAAAATAATATTTATTTACTTATCTATACAATAGCGACTCACCCTCGCTTCGCTCGGGTTTGTCCCTAGCTTGATCCCCCACACAAACTTTCATCGCCATTTTCACCCCCCTAAGGGATGATTTCCGGGATAAAAAGTATCTTATGTCCTTCCCAGGGTCTCAAACTATCTTCTTACCACATTTCATCTAAATCGGTGCAGTAGATCCAGAGATTACCTCCTACAACGTCACACACTCACAAACTTTACCTCTTTATAATATTAGTATAGATAAATAAAATTGAGGTGTCTCTATGTAATGTCAAAATAACAGCGTTTTACTGAATGCATACAAAATTTATGCGGTACTTATAAGGAAAACACATTTTTTTTAATTTATGTCTGTCTGTCTGTTTGTTCCAGATAATCTCCGAAACGGCCGGACCGATTTTGATGGGACTTTCACTGACAGATAGCTGATGTTATAGGCTACTTTTATTTTAGAAAAACAATTAGGGTTCCTCTCAAAAAAATTAAATCGTACCTAGGGATAAACCCGAGCGAAGCGAGGGTGAGTCGCTAGTATTTAGTATTTACCTTAAATTCACTTATATTATTCCTGTATTCCCCTCGAAGCAACCCAGCAAGTGTGTCACAAGATATGGACTTCAGGTCTCTATGGTCACCATTGGTTAGTGGTAAAGCGAAAGGCTGGGAGAAGTCCCCAATCAAATCTGGATCTCCGGCTGCTGGAAAAACAAAATGGCGGTTTGCTAATTGTATTCGCGTTAGCGTTTTTTTTTATTTCTCACTGTTGGGTGTGGGCCTCCCAATACGAAGGGGATTATCTATTTACAATTGATTTACAATTGGCGAAATGAAACGCGCGAAACAAGTCACTATTGGCGTAATCGATTCACTATTAAGGAAATTAATTCACTATTAGCAAAATCGATTCACAATTTACAAAATCGATTCACAATTCGCAAAATCGATTCACAAATTAAAGTTAGCGAAAAAAAACAAATGAATACTCACATCTCGCTAAAGCCGACATTATCGATGCATTATTTTCCGAGAACGCCCTTTGAAGTACTGGTTTTGGTCCGTGTAAGAGCCCTTGGTAGTTAGACTTCCTTCTTTTACTACATAGATTATCAAAATGTTGTCTTTCCGGGCGTTTATTTGATTTTTTTGGACTTTCTGTCAAGGAAAATTCTAATTTTGGTTTCGGATTGAAGCTTAAACTCCTTTGGAACGGCCTCTTTAGAGAGAACGGCTCAAAATTCTCTTTAATCTGTCCCGATAGTAATTCATTAAAGTTTTCCATTTTGGGTGAGTTGGATATATCCTCTATGTCAAGAAAAGGTTCTTCCAGTTCTGAAATGAATCCACTTTCCATTGAAGTTGTCGACTCAGAAGGAAAAATCCTCAATTTTGTCGAAGACGGAGATAATGACATAGAACCAATACTTGAATCACTTTTCTCATGTCTGAACCCATTTTCAGTCGGTGTCTCTGTGAATTTCAACGATTTCTTAACGGATACACTCTTTTTAGCTGCAGGTGAAGTAAACTCAAAGTTTTCATCTTCAAAATTGAGAGTGCGAATTGGATTTTGCTTGTTTATATTAAACGATGTTGAAGCTTCATTTTCAGATAACGGTGCTCCAAACATGAAATTCTTAGATTTGATCTTTCTGGATGTTTGTCTGCCATTGGATATAATATCAGGACTGTCCGTAGATATAATTTCATATTTTGTGCATTCATCAAAATTGTGCGAATCAAATTCTTCTTCTAAGTCATGTAGCGTTTCAAATTCAGTATCTAAATTTTCTTCTTTTTCCGGGACGAATAAATCTATATTTTTCTTTGTTTGTTCAAAAGATGTTGACTGTAACGCATCAGTGAAGTCCAACTGGAATTAAAATGTATGGAATTAAATAGATTCATTATTTTCACAATTTTGTTCACAATTTCAAGGGTTTTAATTTTTTTGTGGGGAACCCTAATTCTTTTTCCAAAATAAAAGTAGTCTAAGTTATATAACATCAGCTGTCTGCCAGTGAAAGTCACGTCCAAATCATTCCAGCCGTTTTGGAGATTAGCTGGATTAAAGCAACAAACCAACAGACAGACAATTTATAAATAACAGTTTTTTACTAATACTTTTAAGAAAAAAAGATAAAAATTCTCTGCCTGTTTGTTCCGGGGTTAATCTCCTGAAACGGCTGAACCGATGTGGACGGGACTTTCACTGGCAGACAGCTGATGTTGTATGGAGTAACTTTTATTTTAGAAAAACAATCAGGGTTCCGCACAAAAAAATGAAAACCCATGAAATTTTGAACAAAATCCGCGCAACTAGGGACGAACCCGAGAGAAGCGAGGCTAAATCAATATAATCATGAAATATGTACTACATGTATATTTTATTTGTCTAATATAGTGTTACGGCTAAGGAATCAAATCGACGCTTTAGTGCTTATTTGTTCAAACCCTCTCTCTTTCCTTGTCTCTTTTAAAGTATAATATATATTTAATACCAATAGAATTGACATTTAAAAGTGAATAATTCTGCATTAAAAACTCTTTTGGTAAATTGGTCATTTGGACAAATAATCACTAACATAAGTTTTTTGAAAGCTTATTATAAAAAAAAAATTTTTTAGTTTTAATAAAAAAAGTATATGAAAAGAATAGCAAAAAGATAATTTTATAACAAGTAATAACTAACATGTTACCGAATTCCTTCATCACAAACCTGGTCCTAAGATCCCCGAATCATTTTTTTTACAGAAAAGTAAAAAATAAATTCAGGAAAATTACCTTAGCCATTGACCAGTTGGCAAGTTTTGCCGAACATGATGGAAAGGTTTCACCGAAGGAACAATCCCTTGTGTCCTCTTCCACATCAATTTTTAAGAAGGTCTCGCTTATATATTCATTTTCTTTATTAGACATCTTAAATTTCGACCTTTCTTCAAATATTTTAGTAATTTTAGAGCTTCTTTTTAACGATCCTCTACTCGTTAAAGGAGACAGAGAATTTCTGTCTATAAGAGGTGACTTTTTATCTAGTAATGGTGTACTCTTCAATCTTTCAATTGTAGGTGAATCTTTTGGCTTGAATAATGGAGAATTTGTGATTTCTCCCAGAACTCGTCTCTTTGATGGTGTAGCGATAGGTGAGTTCAGTGGGGACTGCTTTCTATTGAAATCTAGTGAATGTGGTATCATTTTAATTCTGAAATTGCTTGTGTGAGCTTCTTCTTGTTTTCTCTTTGTACCACTGTTGCCAGAGTTTATTTTGAAATTTTCTGTTATTAATCTGAAACAAAGGAAATTAAACATTATATTTTATGTGTCAACATAACAATATAACAAGAAAGATAATCATACTTTAAAAAAAAATTGAGTGTTTAGGATATAATCAAATTTACAATATTTGGAACTTTTGTATTTAATCTACATTTTATGTAAGAACAGCCGATGAGCATTTTCTATTTTTATTATTGTTTGGGTAATTAATTAAAAAATATATGAAAAAATTGAAAACTATCATTTAAATTTTTCATCTATATACTTATTTAATGGTGATTACAAATTAAAATATGGAAAATACATAGTCCACAGTAAGCATAAAGAAAATAGTTAAAAGCGATTTTTTGAGATGTTTTTGTGTAATTGTAGTCTTTAAAATCTTTAAAATTAGCCATGTTCAAAAGAAGACTTAGATTTATTATTATCACGTAGAGATCGATTAAGAATACGTTTGCAATCTAAAAAAGTTTCAAACAAATTAGATGTTAATAAAAACATTACGCCCTACATTAAATAACCTAACAAATGATACTTTGTGCTAACCAAAATCCCACGACATTTCTGAAGATAACAATAACAGACCCTAAAAAGGGGACATGATTTTTTCAATTATATATCGACTATTGAAAATAAAAAAACGGGTTTTACGATACCTCTGGCGTACATCTTGGATCAAAGGTTACGTGAACGAATTAAAACACAAATTCCACATGATATAAGAAAAAACTTATTTTTCGTAACACGTCTTGTTTCGTAGGTAGAAATGAATTCGCGCGCTTTGTTTTAGCCTTGACGTTAGCTGTCAGATTGGATTGCGTTTAAAAATTAAAGCTTTGTTTTTTTTTAATTTAATATGACAACTTTTTGAACACTACGAACTTGTTATTTTTAAAAAATAGTATATTATCAATATCTATATATACATAAAAAGACGAACTATTTAATTTGTCAGTAATAAGTACTATCTTAGATTTAGGCGAATATTTGACATTTTAAATAAAACTATCTTTTTGGATTTTTTCGCGGATTCATTTAGATTATTGGTTCCCGACGTTTTCTGTAACAAGTTAATGACCTTTGAGACGTCTAAAACCTCAGACAAGAGCCCGTGACCCTGATTGCTGTAAAGCATGCGAAAAGTCAGAAACCAAAAATCAAAATAAATCCACGACAAAGTTCGAAAATATAATTTTCTTTAATTTGTCAGTATTAAACCGGTATGTATACAAATACAAATTTTAATTTATTCGTTATTTTAGATAAAATACTTTTATGATGCACATATTTTAAATAATCTTCATAAATATTACTAAATCATTCATTCACAATAGAATGTAAGGAGTATTACATGACAATAGTGAAATCGGTTAAGTGATCAATATTAAACAGTTGGGATAGGGCGTCGATGCTTATGAATAAATCTGTAAATCTCCGTTACTCAACGGACGGTATGTAAAATATGAGAATATTTATAATGAAATAGTAAATCTAATTGAAAGGTCACGTCAAAATCTAGTTTATTGGTCACGAAAATTGCTAGACCCATTTTCATAGTTTTGTTTTAGAAAGAAGTGCTTGTGTAAAAATGTACATAATATCTCGTAACTAAGTTACACTCTTTCTGTTAATACTTTTTGTGTGTATTTACCAAAGTTTTATTTTCACTATTTTACACTTTTTTGAAAGAAAGAAATTATTGTGACTGACTAATTGGTTTTCGATTTAAGGATCGAGTTTCTTAAAATAGACATATGTATATGTACAATATACATATAGTCCTTCATTTTAAGAAAAGGTATATCGAACTTGCTACCATCCGGTATATATTACGTTATTTAAACAAAATTAAAAATACATTATCTTTCAGAAACCGTTGAATATTCTTCCCTCAGTCGTTATTCTTGTACCAAGACGGTAAGTTCTCTCCCCATACTACTTTAACAATGCACTCGTTGCAGCAATCTTATCACGACTATAGAAGTTTTTTTTGCTGGTAACGGTATTCCAGACAGGGGAAATACTTTAACTTATTAATATATTTTTAATTTTTGCAATTTAATGTAGATAAAAAAATTTTACAATAAATTTCGAAAATGAAGAAATTTGTTTATACTCAATGTACCCTAAAATTAAATATAAGGTGTGAACAAGAGTTTGCACTTTTTGACTTTAATTACGATTTTTAATAGATTATTAAAACAATGGTATCACAATCAATTGTATAACCGTCACAAAACCTGCTTCTTCCACACTATGCACCCAAATAACGTCTCTACACCATACAGCACAAAGCGAAGAATTCTTTAAAACTAAAAGGGTTGCAGACAAAATATTTATTCAAATCAGGGCTTTTGTGATTTTCGGTTGAATCAAGTGGTGCATCATTGTGCCCTTTGTGTGGAAATGCATTAAAAAGAAAGCGAGTTTCTGAACGGTTTTGACGTTTAAATTTGGAACGTCTTGATGGTTTTTTTGCAACGGTTTTTTCAGGGTTCCTGTTTTAAATAAGATATTAAATGTAACAAGTACGGTTAACTGTTGATGTCAAGAGATCAAACTTTATACACGTTTTAAATGATTTTGTATTGCTAAAAAATGGGTAACTAATAATATATCTCCAAACCCTTGAGTCTTAAACAAAAATGTACAGTGCGATAGTCTAAATCAGAGTTTCAGACCTTTATTCTGTTGAAACTCCACGGATTATAAAAAATATTTTCATTTTTCTTAATGAAGAGGGATATCCCCGTTTATTTATTTTTTGAAGTTAAACTACTTTTTTTGTGCACGTTTGGAAAAAATGATGAGAGTAAAATTTTGTCGAAGACGAAGACATGATGAAGTTCTGCATTCCTTTTACAAACAGAGAGTTGTGACATTCGGGATGAAATCTTTAGCTATTTTTGTTCTGTTACGCCAAAGAAGTATAACTTATTACGTGCGTACATAAAAAAAATACACACACGTTTTTTTATTATAATAAAACAAACATTATTTTAACGATTTACATTTTCATGCCCCCTTTGATTTTTTTTATCATAATAAAACACACATTTTAGCTATTTTTATTTATTTTTAAGTTATGCAAAATAAACTCTCTACGTTGGGAACTACTGGTCTAAATGGAGGTTGCCAACGCAGAACTTAGTCCAAGAAATAAATCATAGATTTATTACGTTTACAACCTCCGGCCAGACAACCAATGACATCATAATATGGTGTCACAGCCATCTATATTCAATGAACTACTATTTATATATTAAATATTAAAAAAAACATAAATTCATTGACTGACTCACTGACTGATTATGCGCAGTTTAAATGGCTAGGTCTAGAAGCATGAAATATTGCACTAGGGACCAGAGTTCATTATCATACAGGAGATTTTATCCTTACCTAGACTCTATCAGTTCGGAAGTGGTTTATGTGTAAAATAAAAAAAACTAATGTATAATAGTTTTAAAAACTGAAGAACACGCTTTTGATAAATTGGTATGTTTGGGACTCGTGAAGACCATATAAGCCCAAACTCATGGGGTTTAGAAGTAGCCACTGAATAGTTCCACCATTCTCTCCCAAGCTGCATCATCAGATCAGCTCCAAGATACCAAATTATTGTACTTTCATTCGAACTACATATACATACGAAGTTTCATTTCGATACAACAATAATTAAATTTTAATTAATCTTTTAAAAACCCCCAACACAAAAACGGCTGAACCGATTTTGATAAAACATGTCTAAGAACCATCGCCAAGAAACTAGCTTTCAAAAAACTGCATCCAAACCGGTTCACTGGTTTGAGAGCTACGGTGCCACACACAGACACACACAGCGGTCAAACTTATAACATCCCTCTTTTTGCGTCCGGGGTTAATTAGAAGTATAGGTTAAAATTGACTTCTACGATTTTAAAACATTGTTAGATACAAAGGAAGCTAAAACGAGTTAAAAAAGCAGGAAGAACCGTTACGTTCCATTATTAATTTGTCATACAAACGAAATCGGTAAATTACACATGTCGCTAAACCGCAGTTATAAAAAATTAGGTAAAAACAAAACCAATACTAATCCGCGGAAGTTGAATATGGTTTCCAAAAACCGTTAGTTAACACGTGTTTAAGTCAAGGTTAAATGAAGAATGTTCATCCTGTTACAGCATATGCAGTCGGGTTTCACGCTTTATCTATCGATATATAGACGTTATGTACATATTTATTATATACTAGCGCTTCACACTCGCTTCGCTCGGGTTCGTTCTTAGGTACGTAAACGGTTAGTATGGGATAGATGGGACTATATATAATATGATATATAGCCTATAGCCTTCCTCAATAAACAAGCTATCTAATGCAAAATTTTAGAATTTTTCAAATCGGATTAACAGTTCCTGAGATTAGCGCATTCAAACAAATAATCATTGCCTCTTTATAATATTAGTATTATACAGAGAGTCAGATATCGACAATCGTTTCAGTTAAATATAATAAAAAGAATAACTAAAATGGAGAAATAATCTATAATAATATGAGAAACTATAATAAGTTAATTTAAAAAAATCATTACATACTTCAAACTATATATAAAATTAAATCGATTTTGTGCATACGAAAATCGGATAACCACCGAATTCGAGTAAACAATTATATAGTGTATCTTTTGAACTTAAAACGGTATAGCACGTTATCGATAACAACCCCTGTAACGAAAAAATCGATGAGGAAAACCGTTATAACGTATAGAGGGGTAACATCCCTTGCAGGGGCTTTTCTGGTGCATGATAACTGATTTTGTTTTTATTTGACTAAATGATAATGGTAACGGTCTATACTGCCGAACTTAATAGATAATATCTGAGACAATGAATTCACATGTAAAATGTTATCATGCAAGCTTAAATGAAGCATTTCTATGATATTTTTTTTGTGAATCTAATAAAACACTTTTAAAGCACTTTAATAATCCTACTAATATTATAAATGCGAAAGTTTGACAGTATGTATGGA